AAAAAAAAAACATACACAAAGATGACCATTGTGGCACCGTACGTATTAGTGAGATATGAAACACACTAAATGTCCACTGATTGGGGAATGAATAAATTGTGGCATGTTCCTACAATGGAATCCTATAAAGACTTTGAAATGAATGCACTAGAGCTTCACGTATGAACAAGAATGGTTCCCAAAAATACAGTGTTGAGTAAACAAGTGTATAGGATGTTATTCATAAAAGTTTAAAACGTTGAAAAACAATTCTATATAGTATATATGGTTGAGGATATGTGCGGCCAAGTGTAGAAATATGGATGGGAAGGATCCACAACAATCTCAAGACAGTGGTTACCTCTAGAGAAGATGAAGAATAGAATAGACAGCATTTCAAACATATCTATAACATTATTTTTCTTTTAGAAGCTTCTAAAATAAATATGGCAAAAAAATTTGACAAAGCTATATATTGTCATAGTATTCTGTACTTTTATTCTTATACAAATAAGTATTTGTCATATTATTCTCTACTTTTCTATATGCTTTAAATACTCCATAATTTTTTTAATGAATAAAAATAACGTAAGTTGCAAAACAAAAGTTTTGAGATAAAACCTGGTGGGCTCAGAAGCAGCAACATTTGAGTAAAAGGTCTTTAATTTGCCGTCAGCAACAAAACTGGCTAGAGTTGCTTGGTTGATGTTCTTTTATCGGAAAGGTGTGGTTTGGGTCAAAGGAGAAAAGGAAACTAGCTCTTTAAAAGGGAATGTTTGATTGGGCTGTTGCCTGGGAAGGAGCAGGTGAAGCAAAGGGGCCTGCTGTCAGAGGCAGGCACAGAAGTCACAGGTATGGCATTTGTGTATATAGTAAACCAAAACGCACCTGTCACAGCTGGAGCTGATCGTTAACGCTCATCATTGCAGAATTCAGAAAGAATGACTGTTCAAAATTACATTTTCCCTTTTATATAAAACTACACACATGCATACGTATTTACAAGAATGGGCTTATACTCTACATACACTTTTGTAGGCATCCCTCGCCTTCGACTCAGTATTCGGCCAGGGTCTGCCTTCCTTCCAAGTCAACAAATCGTATATACAGTTTTAATTTCTAACGGCTACAGCATATCGGATCGTTTGAAGTTACTCTAGTTTACTTCACCAATCCCTTACTGTAGAACAGTATTTCCAGGTTTCCCCTGGCATTAACAGCCGCAATAAACACCCTTGTACGTACATATCTGCACATTTTACTGTTTACTGAGGACAAATTAGAGATGTGGGATTCCTGGGCCAAGGCTAATGCATTTCAGTTGTGGTGCACACCTCCACACTGGCCTTCTATAAAGTGTCCTTGCTTGATAGGTTAGTTTTACATCAGATTACACTCCTGCAAACAGGGTAGGCGAACGCTGTCTAACGCAGTCTGGGGATCGCAAACTCCTGCTGAACTTGGGCGACTCCCTCCCGGTGAAACTGCACGGGTTTCCGGGCGCTTCCGAAGGAAGGGCAGGGATCGAGAGAACCCCGAGACCCGTCCCGGCTGGGGAGGCGCCCTCCGGCTCTCCGCGGACACCAAGCTGGGAAAGCAGAGCCCCCGGGGGAAGGGTCTGCAGCTCAGCTGGGGCCCCAGCCTGGGGGGCGGCGGTGCCCGGGAGCCCGGCAGCGCTCGGAGGCTGGGGCGCGGCGCACGCGGGGCGGGGCTCCCCTCGGGCCGGCCGCGGGGCGGGGCAACCGGGCCCGTCCGCCTCGGGTGCCCCTGCCGGCCCGCCCTCCGGCCGCGTCCTCGCCGGCCCTGCCGACGTGGCGGGGCGGGACCTGCGGGGCGCTCCCGCGCACACTCGGCCGCCTGAGCGGTAAGAACCCCGAGCGCACTCTCCCCATTCCATCCCCTTCCCCGGCGGGCGGGGGCCGCGCAGCGGGGTGGGGGACACCTTGCTGGCGCGCTGTGTCCTGGCCCCCAGTCCTGCCCGCGGCGCTCGTGAGAAGCCATCGTTAGGGACAGGCTAGAGGGACTTAGCACCGGGCGCGGAACCCGGGAGGACCGGGCTTGGGGTGAAGGTCCGAGGGCGCGGGCGGCGCAACCGAGGGTCCTGCGTGGGCGCGGGCGTGTGAGTGTGTGTGTGTGAGTGTGTGTCGCTCCGGGTCCACGCTCATGCACACACCCACACGCCCGCACTCCGAGTCTGCCCCCTCGGACGACGTGAACCTCCGCGGAGCCTGCCTGTGCTTCCGAAGTATCCGGTCCCGGTACCAAGCACGTCTCAAAGTTCCCCAGTGCCCCGGGTCCCAGTCAGTGGCAGTCTGCAGAATGCCGCAGCCGAAGGCACCGAGGGCACCGAGGGAGCAAGTCACCTTAACGCAAAGGCCGCATCCAGGGGTTCGCCTGCCCTTGGCCTCGGAAAACCGAGCTCAGGCCTTGACCTCCCACTTAAGCCCATCATCTCTCCCCCTGCAGACCCATGCCCTGCCTGGTCTCCCACCCCAGTCGGCAACCTAAATTAAGCTAGCACCACTCCGATTCACAGCCCGGGGGTTGAGCCCAGCCCCCAACCCCAGCTGCCCAGTCCCTCAGCCCCCAACCTGCACACCCAATGGGCTCATCTTCTCCCCTGGAATCTGGTGAGTATTTCCAGCCATCTCAGGTGCCTCCTGCACTGCACAGCCCTTTCCTTGAGTAGGAGGACATCTCCCTATAAGCTGCAGGGGCCGTATCTATATCCTACTGGTCCCATCAATTTCCATCCTAAGTATCTCGAGAGATGCAAGCCGGTAGCTTTTTCAATCAATGTCTCTTTATCCCCACGAAACCTCAGCCAACCAGAGGTAACTGCGGAGACAGGTTTTCTCCTCAGAGGCCTCTTCCTGCCATCTTTTCCACCTAGTGCCCCCTTCTTACCTCACTCATATTCATTCCCAGTGCTCTCTCCTTCCCTTTCCTCCATCAAATCCTGAGCTCAGGAAAGGATCTGATAAATTCCTTAGTTGTAAGGCTTAAGCAAAAGAATGAAACGAACAGGGTGGAATTTGAGGCATAAGGAAGTCAGTGCAGAAGGAATTTGAGGGTGGGAGGGGGCCTTCCTGAATCTCAAGAACTCAGTCCATATAAGTAGCCATTTATTTTTAAGACTAGGCTTATATGAAACATGTTTCTCTTCAGTCAATATCAAACTATTATTTCAGTTCAGTAAATGTCTGAGGGTCAGAAACCAACCTAAAGTGCTTTTGGTCACAGTCTTAAGAGGAGAGAATGACATGGAAACAAACATTCCTTATGACTGCCATTAAAGTCCATGCAAAGTATTGCAAAAAAAAAAAAAAACATGAAAGAGGAAGCAATGAATTCTTTGAAAGAGTGGGACACATAAAGGAAAACCTCAGAATGTAAAGTGATATTAGACATTGGGAGACATTTAGGAGTTTGCCAGGCAGTTGGAGGCAGGGCCACCTGGGCCCAGGAGCCAGCCCAGGCAAAGGCAGGGAGGTGGGAATGTGTCTGAGCTGTGTGGACACTGTCTAGTGAGGCAGGAGCGGAGGGTGTGTTGAGAGTCCCAGGAGGTGGATAGAGAGATTGGAGCTGGATTATGAGGGGACACAGGTGCCTTGCAAAGCTGTTTAAGCCTCATGGTTTTTAAACGGGAGAAAATAGGTCCCATCTGTGTTTCAAAAAAGTACCCCGCAGGCTAGACTGGATGCAAGTGAGATGGAGGCCTGGCCCATGTACTTACCAAGCTGCTTAGGAATTCTTACAACCTAGGTGAGAACGCTGTCACCCAGAGTTTTTATTCCTGCTCCTTCACTGACCAGCCCTTTTTTTAAGTGGAGGCAGTGATTTCACACAGGGTACTGTGTTACCAAATTCTTATTTGGCTAAATGGGACAACTTTTAAAAATCTGTCCTCTGCACCACTGTTTCATAAAGTGAAAAACATTTTAATACCAAGAAAAGTATGAAGGCTAAACTTGCGAGATGAAGGGAGTCCTTTATATTTAATAAATTTAGATTGACAAAAAACTTGCTATCTTGTCCTCATTTTCTCTGTCATCATGGGCTGGTCTGGCAGTCCAGCATTAGGGAACAAAGTATCCAGATCATTTTGGCCAGCCTTACTCTGCAGAGGAGGAAGTGAGGAAGCCCAACAAGAAAGAGTGAGTCATGTGTCCCTAAAGGAACGAGGGACTGGAGCACAGCTCTTTCCACCTCAGAATACCATCCCTCCCACCCTTCCCGATTCCTCCATGCAAACTCTTGGCCTGGCCGCTCAGACATACAATCTGAATATTTAGAATTAATTCCTGATGTTGGGCATTTGCACATACTCTTATCCCTTCATGCCTTATTAACCATATCAAAGCTATTTTCAAAGTTCTCCCTTGCACAAGATCAGTCTAGTTCAGGCACATATTTCCCTGACTTGATGTGCTGTTTTACATTATTATTAACCATTTTATGTTAGCTGACATAGTTTCCTGGATCTTCACTGACCAGGAATAAAATGAAAACAGGTTATTCATTTTCAGAAGGATAGTAACCACGTCTTCCGTTTGAAACTTATTTTTGGAGCAATGATATTGTGGCTGCAGTGCAGTACCCTAGCATAGTTCTGGAAGCATTTTAGGTGCTGAATGAATTTACTCATGAAAAACTAACTTATCCACAGCCCACAAAGGCTCCTTTATACTCCACTCTTCCTCTCCTTAGAGTTTACTGAAGAAGCCTCCTTGTTCCTGTGAGTTGAGTCTCCCTAGCATCAAAGCCACAGGACATGGCTGCAGTGATCAACTTTCCAAGCCATAAATCAGGAGAGGTTTGTAAGCCTGACTGCTTAAGAGGCACCCAGGCAGAGATGGGGACTGTCCCAGGAAACACAGCGTGTATCATGATTGTAGTCCTGGTGGACTCCCAACAGTGACTACACAGAAACAGCTGTGTATTTAGGACACACATTTCTAATGGCTTCACACACAAGGGCACAGTCTTAAAAATGATACATCTCTCCTGTCATAGTAATATCCCGACAAGGGTCTACTGGAACAAACAAAAAAGATTTTTGGTTTTGATTTGGGCTTAGGGGAAATGTCAGACGTATAACAGGTAGAAGTAAATACAGATCGGGGGTATGTATGATGAGAAGTTAAAGTAGGGCTGAATATTACAGTGACCATTTTATTATTGAAACATGTAAAAGGATCTTCCTGAAATTGATAAGTTGTCTGTGAATATTTTTTAACAATATCAGTTCAATAGCTTCCAGCTGTTTTTTGGGGAATTTCTAAAGAAATGGCTTCATCTTTCTAGTTGAATGTGGAGCAGCTGCAGAGAAGAGAGATTTTGTTGCAGCAATTTTTCTACTGTTGAGGTGAACTGACCTAAGGCAATTTGGTGATCAATTTGTTCATACAAATTTGATGAAGTCCTAGCCCTCTGTCCTTTTAGGCTGCTGATGAGGATGGCTCTAGAGGCACAACTCAGCTAACCTTCTAATCAGGCATTGGAGTTCTCCCACAATCAACCAGAAGAACTAGAAAGAACTAGAAAACCTGCGAAGAGCAAAAAACTGCTGGACTCAGTATAAGCTTATACCTTGGTAATAGAAGGGCAGAAAGACCGGTACATTATTTCTTGCCAATGTACATATCTTAAGCACCTTCCATTTCACCAGTGACGAATTATTTCTGATATGCCTTATGCTAATTAGCATACCCTGGGGTACTTGATCAGAGAGGATTATAGTTAAGTGATCTCAAGAGGTGGACACCCAGCTACAGATTTTGAAATCCTAACTAAAGGCCTTTGGAGAGTATATTCCTGAAAAGGGTACTTCAGATGTTAACCAACCACCCCTGGCGTATAAATCACCACTAACCCACATGTATGTCACATGGTATTTGCTGAAGCATTTTATTATACATTATGAACAGTATTACAACATGTTTAGGGCAAAGCATATCAACAAAATGTCCATAATACTTTTTATTTGCCCATGAATGTTTGTCATAGCTAGGTTTATTCTCATGCCCCTGCTTATAGAAAAGTGAAATCATTTGGAGCTCTTTAATAATCTGGATTAATAATAAGGATTTTCAAATTATCTTACAAAGTCCTGAAAATATCAGACTGTGTCTATGACCCGCTATTGATGAATAAATAATAGAAATAAAAGTGATATTGAAGCTTCATTTATTCATGGACCCCTTCTCCTTATGCCCCTAGGACCCAGGCAAGGATAGGATAAATTAAGACCAAGAAATTTTTAGGCCATGGCAGTCAGTCAATATCCTAGACTGTGGGTTAGCAAACATTTTCTGTAAAGGGCCAGCTAGTAAATATTTTAGGCTTTGCAACTTTGTGGGCCATATGGTCTCTGTCACAACTACTCGACTCCACTGTTGTAGTGCTACAGAAGCCATAGACTAAATAAGCAATGAGTGTCTGTGTGCCAATACAATTTTATTTACCAAAATAGGTGAAGGGCACAATCTGGCCAGCAGGCTGTCGTTTGCCAACCTCCTGTCCTAAGCCAGTCCTGACTCAGTAGTTTCCAAAAAGCTTTATAAGCTTGCAAATGATAATAGCTTTTCAAGTACCCTCCCTCAATCCCACCCGCTCCCATGAACCACAGTAACTACCCCTTTTCTGTACAGGCCTTGTTTCATTCTTTACTATTTCAACCAAGCATTGATCAAGCTCATTGGCAGACCATCTCCAACCTTGAATATTTTAAGCTCACTATACCAGCCAAAGGAAAATATGCATTTTTTTGCCTTTCCCATCTGTATCGTTGTTTACAGAAGTGTAATTGCAGAACACAGATTTTTGTTTAAGAAGAGACATTCTAACTCAGTTAACTGGGAGGTGAAAAAGAAAAAAAGCACATACGGGTCATTTGGAACCACTTACATAAGATACACCTGATTAATGAATGGGGTAAAGGCATACTCTATTTGCCTTCATTTCAAATTACATTTTAACTTTAAATCTTCACAAAAATATTAGTCTAATTCAACACATATTTGTTGAGTAATAAAGAGCCTCTAGGATGCGAGCACTGGTTGAATGTAAGAGAAAAGACAGCTGGCTTTGCAGGGAGGGCTCTGACATGGCTCTAACATAAAGTCAGATGCAGGTTCAAATCTCAAATCTGCCACTTACTGAAAGTGTAACCTCTGAGGCTCAGTTGCCTCATCTGTAAAATGGAGCTCATAATATCAACTAATAGGAGATAATACATTTAGAGAACCTGAATTTAATAGGTACTTGATAAATAACAGTTGCCAGTCTTATATATTTGTGAGAGAATGAAGGTTTAGTTAATACAGTTCTGATGTTTTAAGCCTGGGTTGTTGAGAAGATATAGGTGCCACTAAAAGAAACAAAATCTAGAGAAGACCTAGTATTAATAGCAAAACAACAGGTTTCCTTTTGAACAGGAAGAGATGTCCAAGTGGCCATTAGAACTCATCCAGAGGTAGAATGTTTTTTATAACAGCATGATTAAAATTTAAAAGTATATGTATATTTCACATGTATTAATATATATTTCACATACCATAAAATTCACTCTAACATGTGCAGTTCAGGGGCTCTTAGTTAGCTATTCACAGAGTTGTGCAGCCATTACCACTATCTAAATTGAGAGCATTTTCATCACCCTCACAAGAAATTTGTGCTCATTAGCAGTCACTCCTCATCCCCCCTCCCTTCAGTCCCCGGATACTATTAATTTACTTTCTGTCTCTGTGAAATAAACATAGATATTTGAAACTCACAGCATGTAAGTGGTGAATAATACAGTTGTGAGAAAGGAATGTGCTTCACCAAGAGAGAGAATGGAGAGAGGGCAAATAGCCAGACAACCTTGGGGATTGGCTGTTTGAGGGGAAGAGGGCTAGCATGTGCATCTGAGTTCTAAGCCTGGACCACCAATATGGCCAGAATGCTAAAGGGCTTCTCACAGGCTTGCTTTTAGCAGCAGCCTGAGAATTGACCAGTCAGTTACACTGAGGTCAACAAAAATACCTATTGGTCTGACTAGAACTTGGTGGCTTCTTGTGTGGTGAGAACACTGTGTCAACATTTAAACCTAAGAAAGTTCTCATTTTGACCTAGCCTTCTAGATCTGTGCTCTCCAGTAAGGTAGCCACTAGGCATGCTCCTATGTAAGACTTCAAATTTAAATTATTTAAAATTAAATGAACAATTTAGTTTCTCAGTTGCACTAACCACCTTTCATGTGCTCAAAAGCCACATGTGGCTATTAGCTACCATGCTGGACTGTGCAGATATAGAATGGTGCTGTTCTGCATGATATCAATAATTTGCAAGTTTGGTGAAGAGTTTTCTGCCTTGTATGTTAATTCATGATGGCTATATTCCTCATTGGGCTTAATACCTCACTTCTTTCCCCTCCATTTCATCCTTTTGTTTCCCTGCCTAAACAATTATCTAGACAGATCCCAGGCCTTCTCCAGCTGGTACCCAACAGAGCACATTTGTGTGTATATATCTCTTTCTCAATGTGAATCTCTGATGACATTGCAAAGCTAAGTGGGAAGTATTTTTGATAAGCTCTCTGGGATTTTCTATGCTTATTCTCATTATTGCTACAAATATAACTAATGCAGTCACATTAAATAAGTAATTTCATAGATACAGTTGATAGACTTAGTTCCACATGCATATCCCTGCATACCAAGTAAGAGACCCATGAAAGTTTAAAGATAGCTCTGTCGGTTTATATTGATTTCCTATTGCTACTGTAACAAGTTACAATAAACTTAGTGACTTATAACCACATAAATTAAAAATCTTATGGTTCTGGAAATGAGAAGTCCAAAATCAGTTTCTTGGGTCTAACGTCCAGGTGTTGGTAGGGCTGGTTCCTCCTGGACTCTCTGAGGGGAACCTGGCTTCATATGTACTGAGGGGAGAATGGTTTCATCGACTCTTTCAGCTCCTAGTGGCTGCCCACGTTCCTCTGCTTGTGGCTCCTCCTTCATCTGCAAGCGCATCGCTCTAGTCTTGGCTTCTGTCAACACAACACCTTTTCTTCTTTGTAGTCCAATCTCCCTCTGCTTCTCTCTGATAAGAACACTAGTGATTTCATTCAGGACCCACCCAGATCATCCAAAATAATCTCCCCATCTCAATATCTTGAATCATATCTGCAAAGTCCCCTTTGCCGTATAAGGTAACATTCACAGGTTCCAGGGATTAGGATATCGGTGTCTTTGGGGACCATGATTGGCCTACCCCAAGGTTACATTAAGTTACTTATTGGTAGAAGAAAGTTTACCCCTACCAGACTTCATTTAATTCTGAAGGGCTTTGAATTAAAGTTCAACAATTCAGATTAACCATAAAGTGTGTGTTTGTAATCCTGTTGACAGATATTACAATGTCTGATGATGCTGGTGACACCTTAGATACTGGAGACAAAGCAGAAATTACTGAGAATCCCAGTAGTGATGTTTTACCCAAAGATGCAGAAGTGCACTGTGATTCAACTACCATTTCAAATGAGCCAACACTGGCTGACTCCGAAGGAGATGTGCATGGAGATGCACCCATCCAGGATGCAGAGACTGCTACCACTGAGGACCCTGAGCAGCCCAGACACACCATGGAGCCCCCTGTCAATGGAGAAGTGACTGAGGATGTGCTTGCCGAGTGTGTTGACTCCGTCAGCCTCGAGGCAGAGGCTGGATCTGAAATACCCCTGAAAGAACAGAATAATCTGGTAGGAGTAGTTCATTTAACTCAGTTTGACCCAAGTTCTTACTGACACCTGCCATGGGCACAGATTTGTGCCAGGCTCTGTGGGGGGCTTGGGGGTTCATAATATGCCATGACATCACCTGTGTCATCAAAAATGCATTGTGTGGTGAGAAAATGCATATACAAGGATAATTGTTCATTATAATATTTGCATTTTGATAACTGCATTGTTAATAATACTAACAACCACCAATTATTGGGCACCTCCTATGGGCCAGGCATTCTGCTAGCCACTTCATATGTTATGTCATTCACTCCATACAACAGTTCTTTGAGGTTCTAAGCTGGATATTATTAACCCCAATTTATTGACTGGGCAATCAAGTTCGTAGATATTAAGCAACCCAGTAAGATATTAAGCTACTCAGTAATAAATGAAAGATATAATAACAAACAAAAGGAGTCCAAATTATTAAGCTGAATTCCACCCTAAACAAGTCAATGTTTCTTTAATATCACTTAAATTTTAATGCATATTTACAAATACACTATGGAGATCTTAAATATTCCAATCACTGTTTTATCATCATATCCCACCTTCCAGGGAGCCAGAGGTAGAGTGCATTCATTGCCTCTTCCCTTCAGTGCCTGCACCTGTTTCTCTGGAGGATAAGATAGGCCAGTGTCTCCCAGAGGGTTCCTGTGCCACATCAATATGACCATCGAGCTGGGTTTTCTTGACATCTTCACTTCCATCCGCATGGGAACTGGCAGGGATAGAGAGGCACTTGGCATTGAAAGGAGGTGGGCCACTCTCCTCCAGTCCTGCCTTCTAGAGTGGTGATGTAGGACCAGGGAACTGGGATCTTCCCTCAGTCAGCCCCTAGCCCTACTCATCCTGGACTCTGCTGCATGCAGTGAGGGAGGGCAACTCAACAGGGAACCAGAGGGCCTGGGAGTTCACCCTCCAATCTGTCATTAATGCTTTAGTTTGGGCAAGACACCTAATTTCTCTGTGCCTCAGTTTTTCCCCTTATAAAATGAAGAATTGTGCATGAAGACCACTAGGTATCCTTCTGACTAATGTTTTGTGATTCTTTTATTTAAAATCAGGCTTCTTGTGCCCCAGTTTGGTCAAGGGATCTGACTCTTAGATCTGTTCTAAAGTGAGATGGGCTTCCTCAGGGAGGAGGGTGCTTCCCATGACTGGAGATGGTTAAACAAAAGCAAACAATCATTTTTCAGGGATGTCATGGAGAGGATTTAAGGACCAGCTAGAAGTTTGGGTCAGATATGGTAAACATATGTGCAAAATTTGTTTTTGAGTTCTGAGAGTTCACAGATGCTTTGAAGCCATCCTTGGATCCCTTTAGGGAGTAAGAACTTCTAGACCAGAGGTTCTGAATTTTAGCCAAACATTTCAACATCTCCAGCATTGGGAGAGCTTTAAAAAATACTGATGCTAGGGTCTGTATTCTTCTGGGTTCTCCAGAGAAACTGAACCACTAGAGTATATGTTTATCCTATACCTGAAGTATATATACTTATTTGCCTGACTCTGGAACCTCTTTTCCCTCCATGCTTTCTTTCTGTCATGGGGAGAATTGGTTCCCAATTTTTATTTTAAGTGCTACTTTTCATAAATATCCTTGTACATTAAGAAAAGTGTATCTTAGCCATACCATTCTGACCTGATATGACTTTAAAAAACTGCAGAAGCTCCACTAATCCCAAATATATATGCTCCTGATGGATAGATTATACATTCCAAGTTCAGGCTTCTCATAATTATAACAAGATTGTCAATAAAGATAGCACAAGAAAAAGACAGCATGCCTTCTACACATCTGCCTTCTTAAATTTTTTTGAGCAAATCGAGGTAAATCCTGCTTTTGAAAGTTCTTCATAAATGTCCTTAATGCTGCAGAGGGTTGGAGCTGATGGCCTCCTCTCCCCGCACAGCACTGATAGCTTTCAAAGACTTTGAAAATGTGAGCATTTCCTCATAATGAAGCCAAAAGTATATGGGTGGAACTGCAAATACTGGCCAGAGAGCTGTGACTGTCGCTGTGGCTGTGTGTGTGTGGCATTGCATCAGGTCAGAGAGAACCAAGGTGTGGAAGGAATTCCTGAGTTTGTTCTAAGAAGGCAGAAAGGTGTACAACTAGCTGGAAGGGCCTGAGGGAAGAGGATATCTCTGTCACCCAGGTCATATTTAAACCCTTCTAAGTAGGTGCAAATTTAGTATCTTTTTAAGAATTACCAGAAAGGGGGATTCTACTATCTCTATCGATAACCTATCCTTTTATCTTAAGTTAATATTAGGAGAAGTCAATCCCATGCTTCATCTGCAAGCATTGTTCATTTGCTCTATTTTATTTGCCCTTTGCTGGACACTTATAAAAAGTCCTTTTGCAGTGATGAAAACAACTATTGTTCTATTGATCCAGAAAATGGATTCTACAAAAACTCATGAATCAAAAATTCATTTACAAGTTGGCTGTTTGCATCTTTGCAGGTCCCATGGGAAAAAGGCCACACTCAAAAGCCTATTTGATCCCAGGTATATCTGAGCCTAAAAGAGCCTCAACACCCCTTTAAATCCTCTCTTGGAAAATATTTAAAAAAAACAAAACAGCAGAATAGCCTTTGAAGAAGTATAAACCAGTATTGTCTAGGACACACTAGATTTTGTGATAATATGTGTAAATTTATCTGTTTTTCCCCAAGTGATTTGTATCTGCATAGTTCCTTTGGGTCTGGGTCCCCTTAAAATCCACATCATTGGCTTCCCCTTTGCCTGAGTCAGCATGGCAGCCATAGCTTGGCAGGAAGGATGGTGTGACTAAGAGGAAGCCTGGGGAAGAGCAGGAGGCCAGTGGCTCTGCCAGCTTTGAAGGATCACACTGCTCACAGTTCATGCACTCAGAGAAGCTCTCTCTGTTTTTTGGTGCTCCTTCTCTTTCTGGTCCATTGTGATACACAGACTACAAGCCATTGAATCCACTGTCTAGCACCCATGAGAAATGCTCACTTGAGCCTTGCAGGTTGGACTAGACTCCCTAAGGCCTTACCAACCCCATAACAACATGTGTTATTCCCAGGAATCTGGCTCTTGTAATTGTCTTCAGGGTGCCTACAGCCTAGTTGGGGAAGGCAGTACTGTACAAAAGCAATTACAGTATGCCCTGTAGTACTAGATAGCACATGCACAGGGGAGACTTAGACGGAACATTTAAATCAATCTCAAGGAGTCAAGAAAGTCTTCAGCCTCAATTCAGAGAAGTTTGTCTTGGGTGCCACTCTGGAGTGGCATTTATTCCCAGAGATTTTGCAGGACCTCAGTATATACTAAGAGATCCAATCTAGATGAAATTTCCATAAATTTTTAACACCTAGAAATGTTACCCAGAGTACAAAAGACTCAACTTCACTGACCAAAACCAACTCATAAGACCAATTATTAAGGTAAAGAATTCCAGTATTACTGTGTTCCTTTGAGGTGCTCTTGAAGGAAAGCATCGACTACCAATGTATCTCTCCCTAGAAAGGAAAAGCAAAATGTTTAAGAGCTATTAAATTGTTGTCGAGCGAGAAAAAGAAGAGAGAACATAAGCCAAGACATGCTGATGACAGGTTTTTGCCTCTTAAATGAGTGAGTGGAGTTGGCTTCCATTCTGTTTGCGTATTTGCTCTTTTAAGCCTACTTTACATGACAGCACTCAGATTTTAGCTTGGACAACCAGACAGATGCTGGTTCCATTCAGCCATAGGGCAGCACTTCCTAAACCTAGTGGTGTACTGGAATCACCCTGGGAGTTTGTTAAAATTCAGATTCCTGGGCTCTACACTGAGATATTCTTATTCAAAAGATCACAGTGGATGTCAAGACTATATTTTCAATACGTTCTCTACAGGATGTTCTTGCAGTCAGTCTGTGGACCAGTGTTTGGGAACCACTAATGCTAGGACAGAGGAAGGGTTAGCTGGGGGACCAGGTGAGATTGAGAAGATGGTGAGTCTAGTATTGAACATGCCATGGGACACCCAAGTGAAGATATTTTGTGGACAGTTGGTTTTAATGGTCTGGAGCCTAGGAAAGAGAGACAGATTTAGAAGCCATCAGGACTTGGATGCTACTTAGGTAATGGAAGAGGGTAAGACTTCCCAAAAGTTATATTTAAATAAAGAAGCATAGAGGCCAAGGACTTAGTCCTGGAATGCTCCTGTCTCTGAGCCAATTTGGTCACACAGAGCTCTTAAGATTCTTTATGGTAGATCTCTTTGATATGGTAGCCAGCAAAGTTTAGATAGTGAGAGTTACCTTTTCTCTCCATAATCTCACCATCATATTCTATAAGTGAAATCAAATCTCAATTTACATTGTGCCACACTGAGACTTTTAAATTAAGCAATTAACAAAAAAGTTAAAAGCAATTCATGAGAACTGTTTTTCACGTAGGCTTGAGAATATCCTATGATTTTGTCCTCTTAGGTGCCTTGACCACCACCCTGAGTGTGAAGCTTCACTCAAGGCCAATGCTTAGAATTCTGGAGGTCAGGTTTTCTTCCCTTATAGCTAGCATCAAGAAACCAGAATTCCCCAGAGTTCAGAGCTGGATGGAAACCATTTAGAACAAGGCAAAATCCTTTCTTGTACCCAGTTCATATAAAGGCAGGAAGAGGCTCTGAAATATACTTAACCATCCACAAATCTTGAATACTTTTAATTTCACCATCTAGAACCCTTTTCAGGTATCAGAATGCTAATTTAATAGTCCACCATGTTTACCAGTTGAAACCCATTTCTGCAGTTCGGTATACTAATTAGCAAAGTATCAGATGTTAACAGAGCTATAGATAATAGAAGTGCTCATTATAGCTGCCTCTGGAGTATAGCTGTTCTGATTAGGATGCCAGCTGACTCTGGACTATGCATATTTTATTGGAATGCTGGCAGCAGTCAGATTGTAGCTTAATCGAAGGAGCCTCCATAAGATAATATGCATGTAGAAACTTTCAAAAGTAAACTAAAATCATAATAAAGGATGAACAAAAAAAGTAAGTTAGGAGATAGGGCATGGAAGCCATCAGAATAGAGTGTTGTAAAAATATAAAAGTGGTTGAACTTCCGCTGCTACTGAAAGGTCAAGAAATAAAATGAGTAAAATGAGTCCACGGCTTTGACAACAAGGAAGCCAGTGCGGCCTTGCTGAGAATGGTTTCATGAAGTGGTAGCCATGGGAGAGTGACTGTGGTCAGGGAGGAGAGAAGGGAGGGTGGGTATAGAAGGTAGGTACTTTTTTTTAAAAGGAGAAGAAGAAAGATGTGGAGCAGAAACCAGGTTTGTTTGAAAGAAATGTTTTATCATGATTTCCATTTGCTGGTTTTAAGATGGAGGAATCATGTGCATGATTAAATGGAGAAAGTAGCCAATAGAGAAAGGCTGAAAAGCCAGGAAAGAAGGGGAAAAAAAAACAATCACCCCAGGCCCAGAGGAGTTCAAGTGGATGTGATCATTTCAGTGAAGAGGAGAACATCACTTCCAGAATGAGAGAAGGGAAGAAAGTAGTTGGGGGAGTGGGGTGGGGGGTGGGGGTCAGGTAAGTTAGATTTGTGTTTAGATGGGTTTCTGGTATAGGCTAGTGTATGTTTTGTGTATAAAAAGGACAACTCAGACTCTTAATTAATTTTTAATTTGGTTTGAACAATTAATGTTCAATTTATTAAGGTTCCAAATACAAAAATTCAGCTCATCCTAGGCTTTCTATTCATTTCACAAATCTTACTCTGTTTAGAAGTCTAGCAAAATTGAACAGTCACTTTCAAGGGAGTTTTTGATTAATGCTTGGTCCTTTTTACCAGTTTAAACATATTCAAATATTTTTATATTCCATTCACAAATGTAATATATCCTATTTCCTTTTTAAGTATCTCATTTATGGACTTAAACAAAACCTTGCTGAGAACTTAAGAATTGCTATAAATCTACTAAATTAAATTTTTAAAGTGGACCTAAAGACCTTTTAGATGTTATAAAACTATAAACTTAGGATGATTTCAACTTAAAATCAGAAGTCTAATAATTCAGTTATTCATTTTAAATTGGTTTTCAAAAATTGCCACTCTAATTGGTCAAGTTCCTTAAATATTAATAGTAAAGAAGAGACCAAATATTCATGAAAATATTAGTAACATGACTTAGGTGCTTTAAGACTTTCTATATTTAATTTTAAATCTTCTCAGAATTGAATGATTCATAGTCACCAAGGAAGAAAATTACCTGAAAATAACTCAGGCCATTTTCAAGCAAATATTTTGACAGAACTGTAGGGATCCAGAGTAATTTACCTCCTCTCCAATGTCCCCTGAGCCCCTTTTTAGAGCAGCTCTGTCATGAGTTAGGAAACTTAAAAAGGGTTTGTTTCACAGCTCCCATTGCCAACACTCCTAGCTATAAGTTATGCAAATTAGAATATTAGAATTAGTATTTGATTCTTGATCTGAGGAAATATAGGACAACCAGGTTGATCTTTGATCGTAAGACAGCACCTATATTCCCATCTAAGTGTCACAGACTTTTGACCTTAATGGAATTCTAAGATTTGTACATTTTTTTCTATTGAATGATACCTTGGAACTTGATTGCCTGAAATAAATAAATGTGTTTTCTATGTAATGATAAATACCTTTATTAAAATGGAACAGCTGCTATGCAAATGTCTTTACTATTTAAGGAACTTTGAATTTGATGGAATCTTGATTCTGATCACTCCAAGTCTGATTTGCTGTTGTAATATGATGTCATTCTTCTGAGAGTTTAGGGGAGGAGGCAGGAAGTGAAGAGAGTTCTCATGAGGTGGCTTCTGTTTCCTCTGTGAATTAGGATATGAAGATTTCTTGTCTGTTAAAGGAAGTGGAGGGGTTTACGTGGGGTGAGTGTGAGAAAAAAGTTTTACAATAACTGTATTTGGTAATGGGAGATCTTAGTAGATCCACGCTGCCTACTTCATAGTCTCGTAAGTGTGCAGCATTAAAGCCATGTAAAGTGGAGACAATACTCAAGATGAGATATATTTATAATTCATATTGAACATCTAGTTTATATGGTTTTTATATTAAATGTGCACACTTAATCATTTGAGTATTTGCCATTGACACAAATATTCTTTGTAGCTGATCATGAGGTCACAGATCAATGTCAAAGAGACTTTATTAATAAAGCAATTGAAGTCATCATACTGCAAAAATTTCTAGACTCATTTAACATTTATTTCCATTTTCTAGTCAATTACCAGCTGTCAGAGTATGTTAAGTATTATCAGAAGTTCTCACCCCTAAGTGTATTAACTCTCCCTAATCACACAGGTAGTGATTTGTCCCATGAAAGAATGATATTAATCACCAACTTACAGCTGTCTTCATGATGGTATAAAATTGCCACTGCTTCCATTGTAGAAGTGAAGTAAATCAATGTAGACACCAAAATTAAAGCAGATAGTCATGAATCATGAGTGTTTCCATTCATATTAACAAGCTTCTCATTGTTTCCAGACAGAAAAAAACTGGAAGCCAACTTTCAAAGCTTTTTGCTTCTTAGTGTTAAAAATTTAGTTTCTTATTATTATTTCCAGTTAACATTGATGGAGTATTTATTAGGCACTATGGTCAGAGCTTTATATGAATTATTTCTTTTAATTGTCACAATAACCCTGTGAGGTTATTGGTTCTGATGCTACCATACCTTGCATTTTGTAACGAGTAAATAATTGCTTTAAAGACTTGAGAAATTGTTCCCCAAAATGGTAGAGCCTAGAGTCAAACCCAAGCACTTTAATTCCATAACCTTTTCTTTTGCCCTGTAGTCTACACTGATGGATGGTGCTTGATATTTTTTAGGTGAATCAGTTAGGAATGTGTTTGGGTGCAAGTAACAAAAATCCAACATATAGTAGCTCACAAGTTAGCAATTTTTTTTTCACTTAACAGAAAGGATGGAGATGGAAACTACTTATACTGTCTTAGCAGGTCAGCAGTGTCAGGATCAGTGACCCTGTGATTCCCTGGCCTTTCCTTCATGACAGCAAAAAGGGCTGCTTCAGTTTCAGGCATCATGTCCACATTCAGAACAGGAAAGAGGGAGGGGGGACAGTTGAAACCATCCATAGCTATGTAATTTATCGTGAAAGCAAAAATTTTCCCTTTTCTGTCTGTGATTAATACTGCTTCATATGACCACCCTTACCCACCAAAGATGGAAGGAGTTGGGGACTAATGGATCAGGCTTGGGTCAAAAGTTACAAAATTTGCAGACTGTAGGTAGTTTTCACTTCCTCCTTAACTTTCTTTCTTCCTCTCTCCCTTCCTCCCTTCCTTCCTTCCTTTCTTATGAAAGAGCTGTGATTCTCCAGCTCCTAATGTATTAACTCCTAATGTATTTTTGCCCATTTTCTAGAATGTATTTCTGCATAAGGGAAAGCTGTGGTTCTGCTAATTGAGTCAGGGTTCATTGGTGCAAGTAAGAAGAACTATTGTACACCTAAGAAAATGGATGAATGTCAGCCATTTATTCAACAAATAAATGCCATGTACTCTTCCTATGCTATGTGCTCTTTTAGGCTCTGAGGATACATCAGTGAACAAAACGTTTTTGAAAAAGAGAGCTGGACTGACTGACTGATTGTGGAGGAATCTCATGGAACCCAAAGATCAGCAGGCAGCAGGGCCTTGAAAGACAAGAACCAGAGACTGAGAAGCCACCAGGGATTCAGACAGCTTCTCTGAGCATATCTCCTGCATTCTGTTCACTCTGCTTTCTCTTAATCCGTAGTCTGCATGGTGGATAGAATATGGTCACCCTTCATTGCCTGAGTTTTCATCTTCTATTCAAGCTTCCAGCTCAAACTGAAACAGAATCTCTCAGTCCCAGTCCAATACCTAGGCAAAAGAATTCGAATCCACAGAGCCCAGGGACAGTGAGCGACATAGTTACAGAGGTCACTGTGAATGGAATAGACACCTTGACCTGTTGCTGCTTCCTATCCCCAGGTTACTGATATTTTTCTGGACGCTTTGCCTGTCATCCATGCCAAAGCTCCCTCCTACCACCCCAGAGATTTGAAAGTTAACTATACCTTTAAGAGAATATTTGTTCAGCTATATAAAAGACACCTGAGTTTGAAATTTTCAAATCACTCTTTGCCCTGATGTATTAAGTCATTTCCCTCTACCACCCTGGTCCCTGTCTTCCAGATAATGGGAGATTTGGGTCTTGGTTAGTATCAAACCCTGTCTTCTCATTTCAAGCCAAGTCCTCAGAAGCCAACACCACTTCTGATCAATTTGCTTCCAAAGTACATATTAAAATGTGGGTTGGTATATTCTTTTATGGCCCATGTAAACTACAAGCCAATGAGAAATGGTTGTTGGTGATTTTTAAAAGTTTTTTTCTTTTTATTTCAACCAATGGGTATTTCTCCACTCAGGGATAAACTGAATTGCTGATCTTGTGGCTAATCTCTGTTTCTACAGGCTGTGGATTCCCCTCCACATGGAGGAGGATGGGCAGGCTGGGGCTCCTGGGGCAAATCTCTGCTCTCATCAGCATCAGCCACAGTAGGTAAGCATTATATGTTGCTTTTAAATGGATGAAGTTCACATACCTAATAGGATATGACATTTTGATCACACCATGTGCTTGAGAGAGTTTAACATTAGCCCATGGGATAATAAGAGCAAGTCATTTTTAGTGTACTTCATGTATGTTAATACATTTATTCCTCAAACTAACCCTGTAAGGACGGATTCCTATTTCCTCCATTTTAGAGATAAGGAATCTGAATCATGGGCTAAGACCTTGTCCAAAGTCAGGAGTAGCTGGGTTGAGATTTGAACCAAGTTGTATGGTTTTTAAACATTATATTATATTGCTTCTTAAAATATAAAATGTTTTTATAGTATATTTATAATATATTCTCTTTTATAATATATCCTTCAAGCCTTGTATTTATCATCCTGCTGTAATGTTTTAAAATGTGTAACTAACCTACTCCCTAAAAGGATTTGAGGTGTGTCCACAAAAGGCACTTGGACAACAGAGCAATGAAATACAAACTTAACAAATATGCAGGTATGAAGGATATCTATTACACACACACCCTAAACTAATAGAGTCACTGTAGCTGAGCATTGACCTTAACTCTGAGATTCTCAGCTACCAATAGGTTATCTATTTATCTTTGAACAACAAGCCAAAACTTAGTTTATCTAGATAAATTAATTTCCCTGGTAGTAAATTTCTGAAGAAATTTCTTGTATTGGCTCCTATACAAAGAGAAAATATATTGGGCAGTGTCTTCATCAGTGCACATTTGCCAAAATATTCTTCGTGTGATCATTCCTGTATACATTCTTCATGAAAACTGAAGGTATAACAGTGACGTGTCTAAGATAATTTAGCAAAGGCATTTCATGCTGAAGGTGGAGAGTAAGGAGAAGGATGGGGAAGCCGCAGGTGACATAGCTGACTTAGGTACCCTCGAGGCCATGGCCATCTTATGATGGGACATGAACTGGTCCAGTTCGGTTACTCCTAAAACCTGGAAGGATGGGAAGGGAGACAAAGGCCTGAAGGTCTCTTTCCCACTCCAGTGTATGGTCACAAACAGTTTAAAGGCCAGATATTTAATCTGATAGAATTTAAACTGCCTGGAAGAATGGATAGATTGCATTTCTCCATTTCCATGTCTGTCAGATGTCAGGAGAGCTCTGGCAAGAAGTAGATGGTGGCTAAATAAATGTTGACCTCTCTGTCGTTGAAGAGAGGTATGCCATGGATATTTCAATACAGCTGGCAAAATTAACGAAGTTAAAGTGGAGGAGCCTGTTTTGTTTTCTGAACAGGACAGAGTCTCTTCACAAGAGGGTGACAAGCACCTGCAGGCATCCTGCTTCCTAGAGAAAATATTTGAGTTTTTAGTGGCTGTCAATTGAATCTTGTCACTGACAGCACTTGGGAGTGGCATGTTTTTTGAGCCCAAAACTGAAAGTATAGAGTCTAAAAGTTTTTGAAATTGACATTAAGTCATGGAACAGTATGTAATATGGTCACCAAATGATACAGCTCTCCTCATGGCTCATGTCGTAAAACATTAAAGTGTTCTGGGTGCTTCCAGATATAATGAAGCCCAGAACTGCCCCAGGTTATAATGAATTCTGTGCTTCAGAAGTTTCTATTATAGACAAAGGATTTACCATTTACTTTCTCATTAAAATTTTACATATAAATCCCTTCCACAGGAAATACAAAAATCAACTGTCCTGGGGGTAGCACTTACTTACATGTGTTTTTGTGCACTTACAGGTGTACCTGCCTGTAACTGCTCTGCCCGGTTGGTCTGTTTGCTATTGTTTCTCATCAGTCCTTGGCTACCCCTCATCGTTTGACTTTGGGCTTTGCTGGATCCTTACAAAGTTTTCCATCCACTAACTGACAGCTTGCCTGTTGAATTTACTCTCCATTATCTTCTTAGATGTCCTGCTGTAATCTGACCTTTGCACGAATATTGCCTAGTGCAGTCTTGGTCCAGTGGCCTGTGCTCTAAGGCCTCTGGGTTTTGTTACCTGGTTCAAGCATAACCTGTAGATGATGCTGGTTTTATACTGCTTAAAAAGCAGGATGTGATTCCTGTGGCAAGTCCCACCCCATACTGGTAGGCATTCATATTTTAAGTTGGTCTAAAGTCAGCGTCTTAATATGTAGCCGGTGCTTGTGTTTGGTGTTATTCTTGAAGTTTCCCCTTTGTCGAAGGCACCTAAAAAATGATAAATGTTGTATCTTGTTAATGTCACAACCACTTAAAACTTCTGATGGTTCTTACCTGGCTCTGTGCAGTAACTGATCCAGAGGAGCCAAGGGAGATCACTGCCCATGGGCCAGCATGATCACTGTACTAGCCATTATGGCCACTTTCCTGCCTGTGGTTGGTGGAGGCATGTTTTCTCTGAGAGAGTATGGCATTGGCACATCATCCCATAAAATATCAGAATGGAGTTCAGTATACCCTCTTGTATTCATTTTTATTGCCGTGTAACAAATTTAGAGGCTTAAAACATCATACACCAATTATCTCACAGTCTGTGGGTTAGAAGTTCAGGTACAGAATAGCTAGTTTCTCTGCTTAGTGACTTATCAAGGCTGAAATCAAGTTGTCAACTAGCTGCTTTTCATCTAATGTTTCAGGGTTATTCAAGTTGTTGGCAGAATTCAGTTCCTTGCAACGGTAGGGCTGACACTGGTTTTCTTATTGGTTATTGGCCTGGGGTCACTCTCAGCTCCTAGAGGCTGCCATCAGGTCCTTCTTCAAAGCCAGCAGGACAATCTCTCCTGCTTCAATCTCAATCTCTCCCCCTTTAGTAAGGCCCAGTTAAAAGGTGCACCTGATTCGTTCAGGCCTATCCAGGATGAGCTCTCCTTGGATTAACTCAAATTCAGCTAAGGACCATAATTACATCTGAAAAATCCCTTTGTCTTTGCCATACAATGTGACCCAATCAGAGGAGTGAAACCCCATCATATTTACAATTCTGCCCACACTCCAAGGAGAGGGGATTACACAGGCTGTGTATACCAGGCGGCTGGAATCTTGGGGGCAGTCTCTCAGCACTGCCTACCATACTTCCCTTTTCTGTTTGAAATCCCTATCAGTTACACCACCAACTGCAGAGACTGAGTCTTTTTCATGGTTCTACTACATATTGGAATTTTGAAAGGTGTTTGAATCTTGGTATTTTTCTCTTGTTTCACTCACAATGGCCAAAAGGCACACACACACAGGAGAGATTGAAGACATTTGAAATGCTGATGCTCATTCTAAGACAGAATCCTGTTGACAATTGAAACTGTCTTTAGAAAAGTAGAGATTAAACTTGTTCATCACCACTGGTCATCACAACCCAAATGAATGTAATAGCAATGTAACTAAATACCATCCCTTAGGTGTCCCTGAGGCATATTTTGAAGATTTCTGGTCAAGATGTGCTGTGACTTTACATAGTAATAGTAGCTAAAACTATAGCAGTATGTACCTTAGAAAAGTATCTTTGCGGCCTTGATAGACAAGTAGAACTTGTAGCATAAGGGGAGGCTGAAGTTGTAGATCCAAGGCTAGAAACAGTCAATGGTCAAAAGATAAACAGAGGTAACAAGAGTCCTGCAAATGGAGATGTGCTAGAGTTGGACTCACAGCCCTTAACAGAGGGCTGGAATAGGGTTCAACCATCTGTGGACAGAGGCTTTAAGAAGTTAAGGGTGCCATCCTGGGTTATGGTCTGTGGTTTTTGAACTGCTAAATTGAGATAAAGAGAAGCATAATATGCACTCGGGCTGTGCAGCATCAGCAGGTTATTATCACAAGGCAAAGAAACTCATGGGAAAACAGAGCACTTGCAGCAGTAGACGAGCTCTTGAAGGTTTATAGATTGCCTGTGGGAAGTAAAGAAAGAAAATAACCACGTATTCCATTGCAACTGATTCACACTCAAAAAACCTCATGTTACCCTGGAGTAATTCCAGTTACAGACAGGAGTGCAAAAGACATAGTCCAAAACAGGACACAGAGCTGTCAGTTGAGCACTGGAAATAGAAACCAGTACTTCCTATGGTTGCTGAAAAACTACATTCACAATAGTTAGAACTGTTTAGAGTTGGCAAGAAAGTAATTGGAGAGTGGAAATCTTTGGAAATGGTACTCTCTTGGAAAGAGCACTGCATCAGGAGTCCTAAGACCTGAGACCTGGTCCTGACTAAAGGACTGTCACTAAGTACACCATGCCCTTGACTTCTCTCAGACTCAGCTTCCTTGTTTGAAAATAAATGGATGGGGGAACTTGAGAAATTCTGATTCCTTCCAACTGCTGGAATATGATGATTCCATAGTCTGTGGCTATATAAAGAAGAAGAAAGAAGTTTGTACTCACTGTGCTAGTGGAAAAATACAGAAAATTGCCTTTTTGCTACTCTGTATCTTTATATTTTGTCTTTTGCCTCACTCTCTTGGCCCCAAAGTTAAAGGAAAATGAGAAAAAGTGACTTTCCCAATACTGTATAAAATAAAACATTTCTCAACCAACAATTATTTTGGAGAGGCCATAACTCACACATTTCCTCCACTACCATCGCATTCTAAGACTTGATCACCTGCCACCCATGCCTTTGAACAAGTTGATAAAATACAATGAAAATGGTTATTATTAAAGACCTAGGCAGAAACCAGAGGAGCAAGGAAAATGTAAAAAGGAAAATTTTTGATGATAATTTCAAAGTGATGTTGTGAGAATCAGATGTGATTTCCCACAAGCATCTTAGAGACCTGACTTATGCCTGGAAAATATGGCCAAGCTAAGTGATAGACCAATAATCAAAATGAAAGTCCACAATGCTAAAACATATACTGATATACCAAGCTAAAGATTCTGTTGTAGAACAGAGCAGTTTTATTTCTGGATACCACAAAAGTCCTAAAAGTTTATTTAAAATTCCTGTTTTGACAGTTTTATGCATCTGATCACCTTATGCAAGAGTACCTGCAGAGGGAGAGGTTTATGTGATCTGCAATTTAC